CATGACCCAAATATTTTAAGTGTGAAAAAGACATAGTTTAGGTTATGTAACAGACACACATTCCCCTAAATAAATGTTGTGGAAGGCCATCTGCTCCTAATCTGGGTATATTCCCAAGGAGCCACGCTCTTCCTTCATTAACGGTTTATTATGACATTGTACTTCACAATAGTGATACCAAAATCCATGACCAGAAGAGAGCCTGATGAAAACACGTGGCATGCTCAAACAAGACAACTTATGTAACTCTTCATTCACTGATCCTCCACACCTTGATGTGACCCCTCCCCCAGCCCGAGGAGGAAAGGGGAGTCCCTGGCAGGGGCAGGATCTGTATAGAAGAGAACTGAGAGTTCAAGACAGGGTGAAGATATAACACAAGGTCATTTTCTAGCCAACCTCTCCATCCCAGCAACCGCGGAACACTGGGCTTATAGGACATTTTGTACTATAGTTACATATTTGACCAAGGGAGAGATTGTCAAATTCTTGTTAACTCTGGAGTAGCTTGTACTTGCTCTGTATTTACCAAGTGGAGCTCTCCTAGTTCCAGGGTAACTGAGAAAAAGAAATCCCCCTGACTGATGAGACTGGGACAGAACTCTACCTTCGTTCTTCTTATTCACTTGGTTTGGATCCAATTTCGACTTCGGAAATCAATCCCTATGCACGCTGTACTGTTTTATATTTGTGACTATTTAGCACAAATGGTTTTGTGGCTCTGTGATATTTATTTTTGCTATTTCTTCTCTCCGCTTCCCCCACCCTTGATACAAGGTTATCACATGTAGCCCAGGCTGATCTCAAACTCATTAAACAGCTGAGGAAGACCTTGTGCTCCTGATTCTCTTGCCTCTACCTCCCAGCTGTATGACACCACACCCACTTTTGTTTTGTATTTCTTAAAAGAAAAAAAAACTTGCTTTGGAAAAGTGGCATGGACATTCACATGTAGGTTTGCTTTTGTGTTTTCATCCTGAAATTACAAAATAAACCTTTCTACTCAAAACTGCACTCACTGAAAATATTGAAAAATAAAGACTCAGGTCCTATTAAAGACCTACAAAAAAAGAATGCACATTATTGACAAGACCACTGGGGAACGGAATGTCCAAAGGGACTTCAGAAGTAGCAGTGAGGAATGTTCTTAACTCAGCCAACTATATAATGTAAGACGTGAGGGAAGACATTGTCTTCATGTGGAAGCTTTGTACCAAAAAAAAATTCAACCAGGAATGTAACAATTTTTAGACACGATTCACTTTAAAAATAAAAAATGGCACTTGTCATGTTGCTAATGTATAGTAATAAAGATGAACAAGAATATGTAAGTTAAGTCGACATACAGTACATAAAGTACTTGAACTAATTATATACAATCTTTGTTTCAAACACAGGAATTTTCTTAGCAAAGCATGACTGTTACACTGAATTCTAGAAACAAGAATACTACCTTAGCTCATGAGTACCCAGCAACCAAGTATGGTCTTTTTTTTTTTTACGAATTGTGTCCAACCAATAGCATTACTGTGGATGGATTTCAAGTTGATACACACTGGAGCCCTTTCTCAAATGAATTCAAGCAGAATTTTAAGCTGTTATCCTCCTGTGAGTATCTCTGGGCAGATCAGTGTCCACGTGAGAGAAGACGTACAGAACACTGGGGACCAGGGACACAGCTGCAATTCAGAAAGGCGGCTCGTGGGACAGAAAGAAGATGGCTTCAGTAGCAGGTGTTAAGAATTGAATTCAAACAAAGGCTGTCTCTCTGGCATTAGTCATGCCAGATCCAGCTTTTAGGCTGTAGTCTACCCATTATGATGGTCCTTTATAGCTTTCCTCGACATTGATATCAACTTGGTTTGCCCTGTAAAAGAACAAGAAACTAGAAAGACTGAGGGATTGTCATGTACTCGAATTTGTTTCCCGCCATCTCCTAAGGAGACATCCCAGAAATGAGTGCAGACCAGACTCATTACCCCAGGCAATGGAGGCATCCCATGCTTCCAAGCATAAAATACAATGTGAAGTATGGTATATGCGTTAGTTAAACTCTTCTCTTCCTTGGGCATTGTATCACCTGCAAACACTTAGGCAGAAAGCTGTTGGATAACCATTTACAGTTTGGAAAGGAAAAGGCAAGTGCCAACTATCCCAATTCTCTTTGAGGAAACTGTGTACCATTCAGGTCACACACCCAGCTCTGGCACAACGTTCAACCCTAAGAGTGGTTCTCCACTTCTGTCCAAGTCTCCTGCCACCAACATGCTTAACCTTGAGATGAGCGTTGAAAACAGATTGTGCATTTGAGTATACACATTTGGACACAGCCTCAGGATTTAGGGTCTCCTCCAACTGTACTTTCTGTTTTTCCTTCACTGGTCTGCCCAGAGTCCAGTTTCAGCAGTATTTTGTAGTAATCGCATATCTCATCTGTGCTGAATAGAATCTTATATTAAGCATCGTTGCTGAATGAAAGGGAAGATCAATGCATTCAGACAGCAGGTGCTTCGTGTATGGTGGAAACAGGAAAGAGAAAATGAATGCAGCAAGAAAACAATAATCCCTCACATGAAACAATTTGCTCTTTCACTCATGAATCCTGCCTATTACTGATCCTCCTGCCCTCTTTCTCTTTCCTCTTCATTTCTCTCTCCTCTTTCTTTGTGTCCTTGTGTTCTGCTTTGTCAGATGTGTGTGTTTGTGAGTGTGTTTGTGAGTGTGTGTGTAAATCTCTATATCTGTGTGTGTGTGTGTGTGTGTGCGCGCTCGCGTGCATGTGTGTGTGTGCAGGTGTTCTTTGGGGCCAGAGTGTTTTACAGTACCTGCAGTAAGTAAGCAGTACAATGCACACACTCAGATTTCTCATCTCAACTTCCATATCCTAAGGATGGTTTCTGTCACCAGAGGAAGGATGCCTACAGAGAAACGGAAGTCGTGAGCAGAGCAGACATCCCAGATAACCCTGGTAAAACACAACCATCCACCAGCTAACGGGGGCAAGTCTGCAGAACTGAAATACTAGTTTAAAAGAAAAATGAAGGTAACGATTGTCAAGTCCTTATCTATGAGCAGTTTATTGGGGAAATTATTTGCACTAAAAAGTATTTTTAAATAACCTGCTTTTAAATCAATGCATATTTAAATAAAAGTAGAATCACAAGTACCACTGGCTTCTAAGACAGCTTATTTACGAATGTGTAGATCAAAGCACTCAGGTAATGATGTCTTCAAATAAAATGGATTTTTACATCTGTTACTGGTTATTTGTCCCAGAGTTCTAGCTTTGTTTATGGTTTCTGACATACAGGAAATATTACAAATTTACACTTTCTCAGTGATTTTTTTCCTCTTCCTTTCTCTTCTATCCCCAAATATGTGCCTTTCTATACGTTTATACTTTGTAGTCTTGTGCAATTCAATCTCGTTAGAGCGCCCATATTCTTTGTACAAAATCACCTTGGTGATTCATCACGGTCACCAAATATGGTCTCAAAAACAAAAGCAAAGTAAGATGCAGCCAGCCTAGTTACAAAATGGCACTTCAGCTGGCGATGACACTGTGTTGACAGTCGCCATATTTAAGTTGCAAAAACTTGATATCTTAATTCAGCATCGTACTCCTGTCTGTCATCATTCTGAACAAAGCACTCAGGAGGTGCAGCAGTAAACCAGTCATCGTAAAGCCCTTAACAATGTTCCCACATTTCCCATGCAGTCCTTGGTTTAGAATCTTGTTTTTGCTAGCTTCACTGCCATAGTCTCCCTAACGTGCATCATTGAGTCTTTGGTATTTTCTTAATACACCTTTGGCACCTAGTTTTCCCAATCTATTTTTATCAATAACAGTTCTTTAAATGAAATACTCCATAGGACAAAAACTTCAGACCCTGAGGTCAGACCTCTCACTCAAACCTCAAGAACAAGATGAATCACTTCCAACAATTTCCATAAATCTATCCAACCTGTTAAATCTTCAGCTTTTAGAACTGTAAATCATAGGAACGTATCTAAATCTCTCCCCAAAGGCATTCTCAGACTTTTTGTTAAGTGGTAAGTGATCGACTACTGTACAAAAGTCAGTGCAATGTTCCATCCTGCCACCTTTCGAGAGCTCTTAGCAAGATGAAGAAATAACACTATGTCTAAATTCTATTGTTCTCGACAACTTTCCAGAGCATGTTTTTAAAAAAATTTTTATCCTCTTAAAAACACATTTGCATGCCTACCCTTTCCTGAGCTTCACAGCCTATAAAAAAAGATCATAAATAAAATTTAAACTCTTAAAAGCCCAGCACAAATTTTAATCAACCTGTAGGACTTAAAGATGATCCTATATGCAATGCTAATTTATTACATTTCATTCTCAAAGAGAAAGTCTGTTCAGTCCAAATAAGAATAATCAAGAAAAGGAGAAGAAAGTGGATGAGCTTGGGGAAATCCCGTTGTTACATTGAACAAGAAAACTTCAGTATAAGCTCGCTCCGTCTTCAGCTGTCACTCATGGTTAAAGGATACTAACAACAAACAACCATTTGCCACAGTGTTTGACAAGCCAAAGAATTTCTGAAAGGACAGAACTCTCACTGTGTAAATAAAATTAGATTCATTCCATCCCTAGTCCTCAGGGTCACAGCATTAGCCATTTAATATGAATTTTTTATTTTATTTTATTTTATTTGCTACTGTTCAATAAAGAGTGGTGGAATTTAGGTGGGGGAGTGACTTAAGAATTTTAACCTAACAGGTTGATCAGAGATCAATCCCTTCCTACCTCAAAAAAAATTTAAAATACCTTTTCTTCTAATGCATCTATTCACTGCTTTATGATAAAGTGGGTATTTTTTCCTGTGTGATAGCACTGAGGATTGCTGGGTAATACCCATGGTTCTCTCCCTCAGTTCAGCATGCATCTCACCATTGAGATCAAGTGCACTGATAATGAGTGTCTTATATTAACATCTTCACTACAAACAGTTCAGGCATTTAGAAACAAAATATCAGTGAACTTAACGGTTACTTTAATTCATTTTATAAATAAGCAACTGAGAATTTTGCTCCAAGTGGTCACCAGTGTAGCCCATCCCATAGATGGCGTTCTCCGAAGCATAAGGCACAATGTGGTAGGAATGCAGCTCTTCGTAGTAGAGAGACTGGGAACAGCACTCCTGTACCATAAACTTCAGCCGTTTTCTTGTATCCGAATAAGCAGTCTTATAAGAGGGAGCTTCCTTAAAGTATTCATAGCTCTCTCTCTCCGTCTCTAGGTGGATCTTCCTCAGCAAATTGTTAATTAACACAGACCTTCTTAAGTAGGTTTCTGGGTCTTCAAGAAACCTGAGCTTCTCCAGGGAAAGCCTGAGGATACAAGTCCTGTCTTCGGGTAATATCAGGTGCTAGAAAGCAAATAGAGAGAGCCATTACTCCCCACGTAGGAAGAAGAAGAAGAAGGCTAGAGCCTGGTGCTACCAATGGCTTTGGGGATGGGGAGGTGGGGGAGGAGGAAGAGTAAATACCTACTTTTGGAAAATACCCATGGCAATCTTGATGTAAATCTTCTTCTTCTGCATATTTTCTCTTAAAGTAGGCTACTTTCGACGTTGTTAATGAATATGATGGTACTTCTCTTGGATAAGCTAAAAAAAAGCAATTAGAGAAAGGTCAGGTGGCAGCAAAGAGAGTTTTGTCATGTGAAGACCATTTGTAAGCAGAAATCCAGAGGTGGCTACCATGTCATCAAACAGCACTGTTGTTGGCAATTGTCTTTAGATTGAAGTGCCTATTAGCAGGAAAATGTCATCATTTCAGACCCAAAATAGATGGTTGAATTTAGAGTTCTATGTCCATTCCCTTATGCAGCCCCAGATATCAAATTCAAGTACTATTTAATGTTGTGCCAAAATACATCCACGTTTGAATTTGATACACAAAGTAGAGTGGAAGGGATTAGATAGTTTTCCCTCATTCCTTTTGCTAATTTTACCAATGCTCTGAGGAAGTTAACACTTCTAGAGTAATCAAAATGACATAAAATAGTTGGTGGCCAAATTACGCCTTTAAAAATAATGGTATAATTCCTAACATCAATCTCAACAATTGTCCTTACACCCACAGATAAATGTAGTCTTCACCCCACATCAAAGAAACTTTTTTTTAGTGACAGGCTGAGACCACACAGAAAACCATAACCAATCCAATGCAGAGTTGTGGAACCCAGTCCCATCCCAATGGACACATCTACAAAACACTCCCCCAGTCAAAGCTCCGGGAACACTGCAAAGGAGGAGGCAGGAGGATTCTAAGAATCAGGGGACCAGGGGGTTTGCTACAGATCCTGTCTCCTAGCAACATCAGTAGCTATGCCCATAAAGTCTCACCAACATGACTGCCCAAATGAGAGCTGAACAAGGATGGGCATGTCAAACTGGACAGGAGAAAACCCACGAGGCCTCAACTCTCTAAACAAAGAACTACAGACAACTGGAGAAAACTGGGAGTGGGGGAGGCAGCCTTTCCTAGGAAAGAGAACTCCAAGTTTTTGCTCAGGTTTTAGATAGGAATACATAAATACATATTTGCATGCAATAACAACTGATGGAAAGAGAAGCCATGAGTTTGAAGAAGAGCAGGAAGGGTATTTGTATTTGGGAGGGTTAGAGGCGGGAAAGGGAAGGGATAAATGTAATTAAAATGCAATTTCAAAAATAAGCAAAATTAATTAACTAATTAGTAACGTAAGTCTCTATCTTCAGACAAAATCATTTTATCTGATTCTCTTTTAACCTTCGTTCTGACATTTGAGATAATTGAGGTTAATCATGAGGAAACGAAAGGGAATGGCTAGTATAGTTGACTTTAGTGTAATACGTTAAAACAGAAACCTTTCCTTCCTCCTTGAAAATGCTACTGCAGCAGGAGATACTGACTTTAAGAAAAACCAGCTTGAATTCACCAAGATTTCCAAGTGAATTCCCAGGATGGACTCTAGATGGCGCTGTGACCACAGAAAGGTAGCAAGATCAAAAGTCTCACATAGCCTCTCCCAATGCAAAGCAGAGTGAGAGTAGCAAGCAACCCGAGTTCAGCTTGGTAGTCATCCAACCTCCAGGGTCCAAAGCACGCTCATATTTAAACAATTTACTTCGCCCTCACCCATACCTCAAGTCTTTCTGTGTTACAACCATTTGATTCACAACATAATGAGTATGTAGACAGGTGGGTCAAATAAATTCATACTAGGACATTTGATGCTTTTCCTCTAAAATGGAGAGCGTTAGCGAGCTTAAGAATGAAATGTATGCTTCTAGATACCTTGCTTTCTGTGGTGCTTCCTCTGTCTCGGAGGCACATGTACATAACTTCCAGACAGCGCACCTGCCGCTGCGGGGTTCTCCTGAGCCAGCAGGGAAAGCAACAGCCTCACCTCAGCACCCCCAGTTCTCTCTGGTGTCCCAGTTATAAATCAAGAAAGCCCGAAGTTAGTGCCAGTATGTCTTACTAAGGAATGCACGGCCTAAAGCGTTTGTGTATCCGACCTCAAAGGCCGGTGATGGGGTGAGGACTCCCGCTCCACACACACAGTTCCTGAACTTAATCAACAAAACACAGCTCATGTAGATTTTTCACTGGCTTGAGAGAGATAGGAAAAAGAACAATACTGATGAAATAAAAACAAATGGAACCATCACCAAACCCAATTTTCTTGTTTGTTTTGTTTGTTTTGGTTTGGTTTTGGGTTTTGGGCTTTTTGTTTTGTTTTGGTTTTGGTTTTTGGGTTTTTTGTTTGTTTGTTTGTTTGTTTTTATGGTTTGGTTGGTTTTTACAATAATGGAACTGTTGGGGTTTATTTGAAAGCTACTAATCAAATAACTAGATAACAAAACTTAGTTTATCCCTTGTGATAATGACTCCTCCTGTGTGTGTGTGTATGTGTGTGTATGCATGTACTCACATAGTACGTGTGTGTATGTGGTTTATGCCTTTGATGTGTTCCATGCCTGAGCATGTGTTCCTGTGCATCTACACAAGGTGCACAGGTAAATGGGGGTCAGAGGTTGCCTGGACTTCCCTCCACAATTGATCCCCAGGTTACTCCTTTGAGCCTTGATTCACAAACTGCCTAGACAGGCCAGCCAGGGAGCCCTGGGGTTCCTGAGTCTCACCTTTTCAGCATCTGGATTGCAGGTCCTTGCCACAGCCTGGCCGTTCAGCAAGAGTGCTTGGGATCCAAACTCGGGGAGTCCTGCTTATACAGCAAGCTCTTTACATGCTGAGCCTTTCAGCCCCTATTGCTACGTTTAAATTAACTGACTGATGTAACGGTGGTTCTCAAATGTTAGCATTCATCAGTACCCCTTGTCTGGCTTCTTACTATGAACTTCTGGGCCTACCTCTACCTTTTCAGCCGGTCTGGAGGGAAAACTTGTATTTTTAACCCAATTTCCAAATGAGATCCATGTGGGCAGCTAGCTGGGGCTGCGTTTTGAGAACTGTGTTAGTGGGCAATAAAAGTTGAACTCAGCCAATCAGCTGATAGCCAAGCTTTGACCGGTTTTGTTGTTGTGGCTGTTGCTTCCCTTTACCAGCTTGGGTGCTTTGGGTGCTTTTTTTTTTTTTTTTTTTTTTTGCATCGTGAACACTACCTCCCATTTTAATTACACAGTAAAGAATGAAGTCCATTTTCAACAGGATTCATCTAGGTTCACCTCAAGAGGCCTCAATGCCTGTGAGTAGCATTAGTGCTTAGGTCACAGTTTTTCTTGGCAAGATCTAAGGAAGGATAGAGTAAGTAAAGACTTAGAAATAAGAAGCACAACTTTACCGTAAGTAACATTGTTTGCATCTAAATGTATGTCCTCCCTTAAATACTGGCTTGCTTTATCATCTTATATCTGGGACATTTGTAACCAGTTAAAAGGCCACTCATGACACAATGGAGAACAAATTTTAGCTTGGAGAACAAAGTGCCAAAACTTACTGTTCTGCCTCCCCCTCCCCAGAGATCCTCCAGGGGAGCTCTTTCAACCTAACAGATATATTTATATAGTCGTGTGTGGGGAGGGTGGGTGCATCCATATTCTTATTCCTAAGGATTCTGGATGGCTACAGAATGCATCAGCCCTAATACAGAGCAGAATACTCAGAGGTCTAGACCGGAGCCGGTGCCTCCTGGGCAGGGCTTAGTCACTGAGTTTATTGTTCTTGAGGAAACACTCCCACTGCTGGCTGCTGAGTCTTCGAACAGCTTTCACAGCTGCTGTCGGCTTGGCAATCCCCTCCATGCTGGCTGCCTGGCTCTTGGTAACGTTTTCCACATCACTTTCTGGAAGATGGTTTTAGCCACTTTGAGGCTAAAGGATGCAGCAAACGTAAGTTGCTACATCTGTTTACTCCAGGAATCAAAACTCACAAGTTTCAGATCTGGCAGCTATGGACTGATCATGCTGGGCAGCCTCTTCTGAGTGCACATGAGGAAACCACAGCCCCCAAGAGACTCCAGTACACAGAAGCCAGTTGTGTGGCTAAGAGTTGGGGGTCTGGAAGTGGGGGAGGGTGTAGGTTTACTCTCCAGCTCTATGGCTTCTCAGTTTAGTGACTTCAAACAAATTATCTAAACTCATTGCCAATCTCACTTGTTCAATGCAGTTAGAAATACACTGGCTCCTATGGCTACGTCAAGCAGCATCACACCTAATACACGGTAAGCCCTGTATCGGGTCATAATAATGAGTGCGAATAGACCAAGGCCAGTCATGTGAAAACCAAGCCCACCCCACCCCGCTAGCTCAGACCTAAAGATCGTATGCACCACCTAGCCATACAGAGGGGATAGGTATTGGTTGAAAGTTTCCAAGAAGATAGCTCAGATGGCCAAGTTGAAAGACATTATATAAATCCCACAACCTCTCTGAGAGGGTGCTTCTGCTGTATTACTATTGGTCATGTGTTTGGGGCTAAAGGAAATGCAATCTGTCTATTAAACATTTATCTAATCTTCTGGATGATTCACTAGTGTTGATCTGCATACCCAAAGATGTTCACTTGCTGCGACTGAGTAGACAGGAATCAATATGCTTATGTTCCTGCAACCAAAAAGCTTGTAATTCACCTAAAACCCAATGGGATAAACAAGAGCAAAGTGACTGTATGCCTTTAGAGTCAGCATTCTGAGTTCTGAGAATAACATACAAATTACGAGACTGAATTGAGCTGAGCCGGAATTTATTTCTGAAGCGAAACAGCTAATGTTGGTCTGAACATTAAAGTTAAAATTGCCTTTAATGTTGTGCCCTCTGTATTGCTCAAAATGTTTGTGCCAGGCCCCATCATGTCACAGTGTAAGGGCTCAGCAAGTAACACACCAAAAGCCACAGGCCAGGGTGACCCACCTGTCATTCCAGCTCTGGCAGGGCGATTCATACATATGTCTTTAAATAAATGCTTAAAATGCAATTACAAACGATTGCTTCCTTATTGCTCTGCATTTGCCTCCAGGCAACTGGAATCCTCTTAGCATTCAAGTGATTTCATTTGGTGGGAGGCTCAGGGACAGTACATTAAGGTAACATCATCCGCAAATTAATTTATAAACACTTAGAAAGGGCAGGCAACAGTAAAAGGACACCCCATCTAAGTAATTTTTTTTTAGGTTAAAGGAGAAATCCAATAAAGAGCTAAGAGCTGCTGTGTTTAGTACTTTAATCTTAGTAATTTTTAGTTTTCCCCAATGTTTTAACTAACACACAGGTAAAGATCAAGTTGAGGCCATCTGGTTAGAGGTGTGCATCCCAGCTACAGACAGAAGAGGTGAGGCTGATCTTCTGGGAAAGTAAGCACTGTGTGGGACCAACAGCCCATGCCTGTCGTAAACACAGCAGGGCCTTCCCAGTTCCCCTTTCGTGGTGTGAGCCTGGCATTGGCCTTTGAAAGTAAAAGTGTCTTGTCTGTCTGTCTGTCTAAACCATGCCTAACTGATAGGAAAACTATGAGATGTGATAGTTTTCATCTTAAAGGCTATAAATACTTTTGTTTGGGATTATCTAATCTAGGGCTGTTGATGTAACTCTGTAACTTGGTGATAGAGCAATCATCTTGCATGATTAGGACTTGGGTTCAATCCTCAGTGTAGCCAGAAAAACACAAAACAGGAACAATAACAACAACAACAAAGAGAACTATCTCATCTGACCCCGCTAGCCATATTCTGCAGTCTTGCTGCATGGCTTAAAGCATTACACCATCACAAACCCCAGCTCTGTAATTTGTTTCGTGACTTCAGGATATAACCTGAAAGAGCCTGAGGTTTTTTTCATGGGATGTAGGGCGACAGTCTCCCAGTTCACTGATTTGTGTGTCATTTGGCTGAGATGGTGCTTTAAAAGCGTTTTCTTCAGCGTCTGTCACACACAGTCATAATTCCAGCTCAATCACTGTTATGCATCATTATTGCAATGACCCCTTTTCAAACCATGAATATATATCCTACTCAGAGGCATCATGTCATATGTGCCCTCACTGGTGTGAAGCACAGGTTACATAAAACATTCATGAGTGTGTCCACGAAGGCAGATGGGAACAAAGTCCACGACTGTACTGGCTTGCTTTCTGTGGACATACAGCTTTGTTGATATCTGACAGTACTCCATCAGCTATGTTCATTCTGTCAATAAGCCCACAAGTACCCAGCACCTTGCTGCATGATATGCTCTATGGTAACAGAACTCAGTGTTGGTGTTTAGCTCTGAATCAATGGAGCAATCTGTTTCTTCAGATTTAGCATGTATTCCAAGCACAATATTGACTTTATTGGCAGTTTGGGATTACCAACAAGTTGCAGATTCTGGAAGGCTTTCTTAGGAACTTTCAGAGATACTGGTGCCCAGCATTGTCTGACCTGAGATTCCTGGTCCCCTGGCACAGTCCCAAGCACAGAAGTGGACTATTGAACAGATCATCAGCAGTCCCACAAGCCTGTCCTGTTCTACTGGTCACTGAACCAGAGAGAACACCATTAAACACGAGGTGACCAGCCAGGCAATAAGGCAGCTACACTTCACCACAGCCCACTTCTCTAATAAGCTAGCCAATGGCAATGACAGAGGCCAAAAGCCATGAGCTTCAAGAGTACACCTTCTGATTTATCACTCTCTGGGGGAATAGTGTCCCCATTCCCTGACCCCTTCACCTTAGAATGTGGGAGTAACAAAGAATGAAAATTAGCCTTGGTATGGCTTCCAAAAATTACCTCGCCAATAATGTCTAGAGAGGGATTTTTAACTCCTGTGGATACCTAGGGCCGGTAACCAGAGAGGTGAGTTTCTATCCCTGTCCTGTACGCAACAGAGGCCTTTTAGAGAGTCCTGACCAGTATCATCCACATGCTCTTTTGTTTGTATATCATCCATTGTCATATTATATCTGGGTGTTACCAACAAAACATCCCCAAGGCCAGGTTTGCTTCTATTATCCAAGAAGGTTTGTGTAACTCAAGTCAGGACCACCACCAGCTTCTCTACCAGACCTTGCTCTGCTGTTGAGACATTCTTTCTGCCTTCTGCTCTTATGGCGTCTCATTTGAGTTCCCAACTAGAGACTCTCTAGCAAGAAAATAATCTCCAGCAGTGTGTGGGGGGGCTTCCTTCTGCAGGCATGGGCACCTGAAGTCTCACAGACCCTCTGATCCATCCCTGCAGAGTCCCCAGTTGCAAACTTGTGCCTCTTCTCTATCCTCTCACTAGAATTTAGAAGTCTCCTAGCCTCTCGGTTAAGAAGACTTTCTCTTGCCTCTGCAGTCAAGAATATAAATGTAAATCATTGGTTTATTCTAAATACAAGGCTATCTTTGATAGTGCTGAATACAACACTAGCAAATCCTTACTGCCTTTCCCTAATAACCCCATTATCCCCTCTGAAAACTATTTCCTGAAATTGGATGGGTGTATATTGGTGTCTTTGTATAATTTTGACTGGGGAAAACAATTTAAATCGTGTTGTGCTAAAAGGGGGAAATAATGTACTAGGATTCTTTAAATAAACAACCTATTTTTAATTAAGTTTAAAATGTAATTTTAATGCAAATTCAATGTAAATAAAGAGAGTTAACTAGACTGGCTTCTACAGGCCCCCAAGGCCAACATGAAGGCAGGTTTTTCTTCCTTTGCCTCAATTCTGAAAGTTTATTCAGTTCATACCTGCCTCCATTTCTGAGAAACTTATTTTTCATTTATATATATATTTATATTTCCTTTCATATTTATGTTGTCATTGTAGGTTCCGGAAGCACACACTGCTCTGGAAGACAGTCTAGTTGGCTATGCATTGGCTCTCAAGCATGCTTGGGACTTCAATGTTTTCTCTGTTGACACTGAGTCCTGAGCAGAGAGCCTAGGCCTGGAAGCCTTGATGGAGATTTCAAAGATTCCATTGTGTCTCAAGGCATCTTCAAAGCCTTATAGGAGCTTCACGACACAAATCTGAACATGAATGTTGACGTGCATCTAAAAACTTCCTGACAGAGAGAGCAGCTGGAAACAGAAGGCTGCAATTAGATCATGGTTTCAGCCCTAGGCGCTGGATCTCAGCTTGATCTAGTCTAAGCATCAAATTCCAAGTACACACACACTCCTTATGACCCAAAGTGTTGGAGTTTGGATGGCAGCTACACTGATGAGGGCACTTAGATCCTTCAAAACCAATGTTTTCTTTGATGGAATCACTGTAACTGAGGGAGCCACCAACATCTCTAAGAGTGTCTGCTATCATGATTATTTATTTAGGACTAAAGACTATGACATCAGCAATGAGTGATTTTCATACAGATATGCTCACCAAAATTTGTACGGTACATATTTTGCATATTACACTTTCATGATGAAAATCAAGACAAACGTTTGAGAAGCACTTTGACTTTTTGATCGTGACAGTGGTCTCAGTGGGCAGTGGTCTCAATGACACAGACATCAAAGGACACAGAGGCTTTAAACTTCTATGTATATCACATAAGAAATGGTACATAAATAATATATGTATAAATTACAAGACTGGTGCATATACATGAACCAATCACTGTGGCTGCTTTACTCACAGACTCCTGAGAAAGACGCCAGGCAGAGAACACATACACATCCCATGGAAGACTGCGGTGAGTCTCATCAGTCTCCACGGATTTGTTTCTCACAATAAAATGTGGTAATTAACATAGAAGCAGGGAGGAGGCTGGTAGGTACTAAGAGCTAATGAACTCTGCAGTGTTGGGTAGTTTATATATGGTTATCTTATCCTAATACTATTAAACTACAGTGATTTCCATAAGCAAGCATAAAAATGAATGATTTCAAAGTCTCATGACAGTCATAAAGCCATATAAAATCAGAAAGAATTTTTGAATGGGGATCTGAGTAGATTCTCTCCAATTGCATGTCTCTATGGAGGGGCACATCTTTCTGGGTTTGCCATTCAATGGGCTAGTCTCCCAGCAGGGTACTGCACAGGCATGGCTCAGTACACCATGTGCTACAGGGCTAAGGAGCTGAACATTGGCTTGTACATCAAATTCAGTCTTAAAATTGAGAAGAAAGTTAATTTTCCCTGGTCTCTATCTTAAGTGCTCATGTAAACTGGCATTCCCAAAGTCCCCACAACCTCCCGTGGCAACTTGAAGAATTCCCTTGGTTCCTCTCACCCCAGATCCACACTGCCAGTGGGCTCAGAAAGTTCCAAGTTCCCTCACTGGACCCACCCAGTTCACATGGGTCTAAAGGAGGATTGTCTGACAGCCCACAAACATCCTTTTTACAGAAAACACTTAGTGACTTCAGCCCAGCGGTGGCCCATACAACCAGCCCCTTCTATTGATCCTGTACATTGCCATGATGCTATGCTACATTAGCATTTATTTCTCTGGATACATATTTAAAGAGTAATTTCTCTTTGGCCTGTGATTACCTGGTAATGCTGACTCAGTCCGAACAGTGTAAGTCTAGGACAGCCTCAGAAGATTTGGTGAGAACTCCCCTCGGCACATGGAGCATGTCTCACAGCCCTGGGCTCATGAATGGTGACTGGAGATCTTGAAACAAGGAGACACTGGCATAAGTCACCTCTACCGAGTCAGGGATGTAGAGACAAGAATTGGTTATCAGAGCAGGTGATGGCATGAGGAGGTTGGGGGTGGGGCGAGGGTGTGGGACTGAGATATTTGAGGTGGGGTCGATCTGGAATCTGGATTAGACAGAGATAAACCTTCAAACTCACACAATCACTTAAGTTTAAGTCAGAACAGCGTCAACTCCCCCTAGGAGATTTCGAAAGTGCCCAATAACTCTTCCCGCCAGTTATTTACAGGTGATTATTTGGGGAAGATTGATTTTTTAAAAAATCACAGTCAGCTCTTGTACAATTTCATACTGTTGCCCTCTCCAAAATCACAAAGCAATGAACCCAAGCCAGAGTAACTTGGCCTTTCTCTGGCATGGTGACTCTTTCTGGAAAGGTTTGAAGTAGCCAGAAGCTGCTACACGTCTGAAGACAGTTCTCAGCAAAGGGCTCCTCCGTTTAACCACACCTAGTCTGCATGGCTGTGTGCTCACGGATCTCATCATCTTCTATATTTAGAGAGACGGGCTTTCCAAGGGAAGACGGGCATCCAATAAGGACGAACTCATCTAGAGAGGTGAGTTACTATGGTTACTGCTCAGGAGGCTGAGGACCCGTGAACGGCTGCTCCTGGCCAGATGGACCCTTTCCAGCTGAGGACCTAAAACAGAAGCCTGCTCTCCATACGTGTTGACGGAATTTCGTGGAGCCTACTCCGTGTCATTTTGTCCGTAACCACCACAGGCTGCCTTTGGGCGCTCGCTGCCTCCAGCTCTCCAGCCTCAGGCAGCCAGGCAAAGCAAAATCAAGGAGGGTGGAAAACTTCTGAACACTAACCGAACAGTAGTTAACGGAGGGGGAGTCTCAAAATCCAATCCTGGGATTTAAAAATCAAATCAAGTTATTCGGGACCAATGACTGGTCACTTTTCAATGGCTGGGGGCGGGGTGGGATACGAGGCCAAGGTCCTAGCCTCTGGAGCTAGGGAACGCGTCTTCTCTGAGCCTCGGGGTCAGATGCCTGGCTGGAGGGGTCCTGGTATGCCTTGAGAGGGGGTTCACTCACCCGAAGACTGAGTGCAACTGTTTCGCAGCTTCTGTTTCTCGCGAAGGTGTCACTCTTCTGATGGGCTCAGACAGGGACAGCGGCAGCAGTGGCGGCAGCGACTGCAGCTCGGCGGGGCGGCCGGCTCCTGCAGGTCGGTCCCTCCTTCTCTGAAGCGCCTCTGGCTCGGGCTCAGAACGCGAGGCGGGCGCGCGGCTTTTCTAGGCGCGCATTGGACCAAAGGGAGCAGATGTTATCCGGTTGCTAGGAGCGTTGCTAGGAGGCGATGACGCCCCTCCACCGCTCGGAACAACTTTCCTGAAGGTCTCGAGCGCTAGAGGGGGCTGCTGAGAGCCAGTCTGGGAGCTTAAACCTGGAGAAAAGGCTGGGACGAAGAGGTCCAGCCACGCGCCACTGACTTGGTCCTAAAGAGCTGGCAACGCGGGAGCGTCGCGGGCTTGAGCGTTGAGAGGAGCCTTGCGTCCCAGGAAATGGTCATTCACTGGAGGCTAGATGGGTGTCCCCATGGAAATTGAATTTGGGGACAGTGGTGGAACAGCGCTTCAAGGTGTGAGCTGAATTGTGGGATCTGGCTGCGGGACTGTCTCCCATTGTGTTCCTGTTCCTATAAGCAGGTTTGAGCAGTTGATGCATTTGGAAGAGGGAAATATTAATCCATGAAACTCAATCTTGAGTCTAATTCCTTTGGGCACCCGGTATCGCTGCCTCCTAACAGGGTGTCAAATATCTGGGGGGGGGGTAGTGGCAAAGAGTAGGGAGGGGGTTTCCAATGGTCTAAAAGTACTTCATTCACAAAAGCAGATTTCACTTGGATCCGAGAGAAAAATAAACCCTTGAATTAATATGAAATTTTCTGTAAAAAAGAAATTGCAGAAAAGATGTGAAGTTGGAAGAAAGATGTAGGGTTTCTAGGGTAGTGGTCCAGGGAATGGGGAATGGATATGATCAAAATTTTCTGTATACCTATATTAAATTCTCAAAGGACAAATAAAATGTATATTTTTAAATGCACCCAAAAGGGTACTTACTTTTCACAAAGAAAACTGGGAGGGACTATATACGTTTTGGTCATTTTTGCTTTATTGTAATTTCCACAAAGGTTGGCATGCTCTCTGACTTCCGGTAGCATGCTCTCTGACTTCTGGAAAAGGTTTTTTTTTTAATTGGGTTTTGTTTATATTCTTAACCATTGCTTCTCAGCATCCCTGCTGTTAGTGCTGTTATTTTATTGGGAAAGACATGGTAAGAACCTCAAAGTGGGAACATTTGAGAAGCTAATGAACAAACTCAAGAAAGACAAAATACCTAGTAAAGACATTTGCCCAACGTGTCCCCTTGATGGTAAATTTCCCTTAAGGAAGGAGCACAGCTTTTTCCCGGCTCCCTAGAGAGTTAGGCCAGGGCCAGGATGGAAGTCAGCACCATTGGGAATCGCTTACAAAGAAATGTTGTGCTTATATCTAAGACAGGCCTGCTGCATAGCGCTGTGTTAAGTACTGTGGAGGTAGCCATCTTCAAAGCTGGTGGGGCAACAGTGACACCCCACAGCTCAGAGGCTTCCGGCATCTACTTAATGCCTCTGTCCAACTTTGATCTGGGAGTTGTGTTTGCGCTGAAGTTTGAGAAGCTAAGGAACTGAGCTGGTCCTATGCAAAGAAGTGACAAGTCGCCGAGGTGGGGTAAAGATCTTAAAGTTACTGCAGTGGGGACTGAAGGTGGACCGTGAAAGCAGTTCAGATCCCTCCCCCTCCCCCGGCATCCACCTGCACGTCACATGATGGCTACTTTGCTGTGGCAGAAAAGAGACTGAAACGGGCTGCCGTCTCTTTGCTTCTCCTCTAGCTCTTCCCCAGGCACTCAAACTTTGACCTTTAGCTTCCAGTCACCCTAGACTCCTCTCTGCCTTGTATGGAGAAGGTTCCAAGTTCTCCAGTGTTATGTGCATGGTATTTCTGTCTCCTTAGGGTGCCTCCCTCTCACCTGGCTTCCTCCCACCCAGCCAGCAAGTTGCTGTTTAATTACATCCTCCTAGCTGCTTTCCTAGTTACAGGCCCAGTCACACTCCCCCAGCCCACCCTACAGGGTTCATCCTTCCACACTATAAGCTAAGTCTCTAAGGATATCAGTGAGTGCCCACTGTCTAGCACACAGCAGAGCTAGGTGCATGTCAGGGAGGCCCTCGGAATATGTAGCAATGGTGTCCTCTGACTCTCTGTCTTCCTGAGCTGGGTAGCTGTTCACACTGACCAAGGGGACACATTGGGCAAAATGTGTTTCCTAGGAGCTGCTGGCCTTTTCAGTTGGGGTGTGGGAAGACTTGCTCAAGCACTGTATTTGCACACTGACTTGCTTTCCTTTTCGAAGACCACTGGTCTCCATGAGCTGCAGGAAGTACTCAAACTAGTGTCACTTTGGTATTTCCCTATCATTCCTCTTCCCAGTCCCTCTGAACTCAGTGTGAGTCCTCTGAGTTGCTCTAGCCTCTCTCTCCTAAACATGCATCCTCATAGGCTGGGACAACAGCTCTGTCAGTGAAGTGCTTGTCACACAAGCCTGAGGACCTGAGTTCAGTCCCCAGACCCACCTTTAAAAGTTGAGTATATGATACCATATGCTGCCGAGGCAGGCAGGCATATCACTGAGGTACAGTGCCTGGCCAGCAGGAATGGGGGTATACCTCAGAAGCTGAGCATGCATGAGTCTGTAGATCCAGTCTCCAGAACTGAAAACAAAAACCCACTCATAACCATGTGCTATTTCACTATGGAATCAAGGCCAAGTATTCAGGGGAGCAACATGACACACATGCAATGTGTCTGAAATGATGGGGAAGCCTGGTCCGCTGTGATGTAACTTCCAAGTCACTGGCCCATCATCCTTAAATAATAGATATTAGAAAATATGAAGGAAGGGTCAGGGTGCTATCAGGATGACAGAGTGGCCTTGTGACAAAACTAGAAACAGAACAAGGGTATGACTCTTAATCCCTGCAGGACCAGTGATAGCTGCAAATATTTGTGGTGTTCTTTGGTGAACATACCTTGCTGTATATCCCAGGCCAGCTTTGAACTCTAGACCTCCTGTCTCAGCTTTCTGAGTTCTGGGATAACAGGCATATGCCTCTGTGCCCACACTACAGCAGATGGAATTTCACAAATGCTTCACTCTGCTAGCTTCCTTTTGAGCGGTATTTCCAAATACTCCTGGAGAACTATCCCCAGAAACTGTAAGGCTCACACAAAGCTTTAGGGTGATTTTGTATGATTTGATTCATCGGTTACATCTTATTGGAAATGGTTAATGTTTTCAAAGTAACTCTACACAAAGCACTACAGATAACTAAGGACCGCCAAGGATGGAAGAAATAATCTTCCCTGGGGAAGAGCACACCAACTAGTTATCCAATACCAAATGGTCAGCCCTGAAAACACAAGTAACATTATACAGACTGAACAAGTTGTATTTGTGTATTTAGGAATATATATGTATATACATAAATTCATATAACAACTGAAAAAAGAGGCCATGAATTTGAAAGAGAACAAGGAGCAGTATATGGAAAGGACATTGTTGTATTAAAAAATGAAAGTGAAAATGCAAAAGGGGATCTTGTATTATAAATAAATTATGCTATAGACTTTAAAAGCTACCATATAGGCTAGGAAATACAAGAAAGCAAAGATCCCTGGTCATAGAAAGGGGCATTATTTCAGCCCTTAAGGATGGGATAGTCTCAATTGAAGTGTCAGGAGGCAGCAGTCCTAGGCAGAGTTCTAGAGACTCCAGAAGACATATACTAAACTTGGTTACCCAAAGAGCTGTTTCTTCTGCATTCTTTACTTCACAGCTTAAAATGTATATTTTGGCACCTTAACATAGCATCTGTGGTTCACTATGGCCCATATGTAGGAGCATCCAGCCTTGCCTAGACTACCAGCTCAGAGTAATTTGCCCTGGACTTGGAGCCTTCATTTCAGCAGTGTCCCCACAGTCCTGAAATGCTTGAAATCCAACAGGACTGTCGGTGAACAAGCAGTTCACTTTGGCCAGCCTATAATGTCCTAGTGCAGCCATGGATGAGAAGGAACTGGGGGAGAAAACAGAGCTCAGCACCACTAGGTCTTTGCCACCAAGGTGACAACACTAGGAAGCTTATTTCAGAGGATGGACAAAAAAAAAGGGTGTCAGGGTGTGAGGTGTTGTCTAGAGGATGTGTACTGTTTTCAGTTCATTTCCTCAGGCACATAAAACTAAAGGTCCCAACCTCTGTAAAAGAAAAATCCATTACCTTTTTATTTAGTGTGTGTGCACATTCATGAACATGCATACCAGGGCACATGTGTGGAGGCCAACAACTTGCTAGGGTGTCTCTTTCATTCACAGTGTGGGTCTTGAACTCAGGTCTCTGTGGCCTGATTCCATGCCTTCTTGAAGATGGTAGAGTTCTGTGACCCATCCTGGCCAACAGAGGTTGGGCAGAAGTGTGGCCCCCAGATCAAGTTACATCATTCTCTCTCATGTCTTTTTTTCTCCCCTGTTGACAAGGCAGAGTGCTCCGAGAACACATTATGACTCTAAGGTGGCAAAGTCTCAAATGGAGAGGCACTCAGAAAAAAAGCTACATGGTCAAGGAATTGGTCCAGACTGTGGAGTTCAAAACATTTCTTGGGCAAATATGCCCATATTTAGGTAACAAGAGGCATTAATGCCACAATTAGCATAAAACAGTTCTTAAAAATAGTGAATATCAGCTGTCCCCGGACTATTTATAGAATAAATGATGCTGCATTTTCTTTCGATTTGGGCTTTGCTTTCATGGTGTGGCCATGCTACACTGGAACAGCCCGGCTCCCTGTCCTTTGAGTACAGTGCACCTGAACACTGTAAACTAATTAGAAGTGAGTAAACCCGGAAGATCAAGATCTCTGGACAAGAATGTCACTGAAGGGGAATCACCTGCACTCAGCGTGTGAAAACCCACGGCTGCCCTCAGGGGTTTCCAGGTGTTTCAGTAATCCGGGTAGCGTGATATTTACACAGGTCCTTGCTTAGCTGTATCTGTGTTCACCAAAGCCCACATCATTCCAAAGCTGAGTCAATCTGCTGCTCCTTGGGTGTAATGCTTATGGCTCTGACACGCATGCATGCCTGCAGCTGGGACAATTTCCAAGTTAAGGTTTTTGTATGTGGTAAAATAATAT